ATTTACAATAAAATATTAAATGAAATAATTATAAGAATAAATACAACCACTATTTATATATTTTTTATTTTACATGCTAATGTCATAAAATAAAAATTTTAAAAAAATTATAAAGAAAAAAATTCATACAACATTTTTTCTTTGGGCTTGAATCCCTGTATTCGTTCATTTTTTTGTAAAGTTTTGTTTTTGTTTTTGTCTTTTAGAAAAGAAGCTATTCAGAATATTGTAAAAGTGTGTAACGGGCTATTACGGCTGTTACAATATCACTACGGCCATTACACATGCGAATTTCCATCACACCGCAAAAGTGCGTGTAACAGATAGCACCTACCAAAGTTTTTAAAGGCGTATACGAAGCGCGACTTGAGGCGAGGCATACGGAAAACGTACAGATGCGTTCTTTTTTGGGCAAGACACCAACTATGCATACATATCAAACGTAGAGGCGTAAGCATCTGTCACGCTTTATGCGATTTTCACTCTTTCGACAGCGAGGCACAAGCCTTTGAGGAGTTCGATTTCAAAAATCAAAAAAGGGAAATGATAGTATTTGGTGGAAACTTGCTATATATGACTTCGATAGAAATAAAAATTGCTCAAGAAGAAGATATAAATACCTTGTAAGTCAATATTCTTCAAATCAGAGTCCCAACAAGTTCGAATCAGTCTTCTAATCTTCTCCAACGAACTAGGGTTTTCCAAGTACGAAGTCTCTCTCTCTTTCGCTCGAGTTAAGTCGAGTCTCTCTCTCTCGTTCTGTTTTCTGCATCATCTCTCTCTACCTCTCTCGTTCTGTCTGCATCGTCTCTCTCTCTTTGTTCTCGTTGCTTCTCTTTGTTTCACCACTTCGACTGAGATGTATATATGTTTTTTTGTTTTTGATCAAGGACTGATGTATATATCTATATCTCTGTTTTTGTGCACACAGATATCTCTGTTGTACTTGTCTAATATATCATTATTATAACTGAGCTTCTTCCTCTTTAATTTATTATTAGTCTAATATATTATTATTATAACTGAGCTTCTTCTTCTTTAATTTACTATTATTATTATTTTTTTGATGGACTTTAATTTATTATTATTATTGTTAATATTCTAATCTTTTTTTGTTATCCCATCCCACCAAACCAGTATGTTTTTGGTTTTTATTTTTTTTATTTGTTTATTTTTATATAGTAACAGTGCTACTATTGATAAGTTTGTTGGGATAACAAAAAAAAAATATGGCTGAACCCAAAAGCCAAAGAAAAGATTTTGTCTGAAAGTATGTAAAAGAAGTTGATGGGGAAAAGTATTTTAGATGTAAATTTTGTGATCAAACTTGTAGTGGTATTGCTAGTCGATTTAAAAATCATCTGGCCGGTACGTATAAAGGCATTAAACCGTGTTCAAAAGTTCCTGAAGACGTAAAGTTGGAATGCCAACAAGCATTAAAAAATTTCTTTGAGCAAAAAAGTGTCCGCAATGAAATGCTTTATGAAATTGGAATGGGTGCTGGAGCAAAGGGCAATAGTGGTAGGGTCCAATGGATAAATTTGCTAGTTCTCAAGCATGACAATCTACACTGAACTCCAAATGGAAACAAGAAGAAAGAAAAGATGTGTGTCAAAAGATTAGGCGTTTTATATATTGTAAAGCTCTTCCATTTAATTTAGTGAATGATCCATATTGGGTAGTTGCAGCTGATGGAATTCCAAATTATAGACCTGGGTTCAAACCCCCTTTTATGCATGAATTGAGGACTTGGATTCTTAAAGCAGAAGTAGAAGATATAAATGTCATGATGGAGGAACATAAGAAAGCATGGAAATAATATGGATGCTCAATTATGTCTGATGGCTAGACAGACGGGAAAAGTAGAGTTCTTATTAATTTTCTTGTGAATAGCCCTGCTAGAACTTGGTTTTTAAAATCAATTGATGCATCTGATACTATAAAAAACGGGAAGTTGATGTTTAACTATCTTGATAGTGTCGTAGATGAAATTGGGGAAGATAATGTTGTTCAGGTTATTACTAATAATGCTTCAAACTATGTCAATGCCTGGTCAAGACTTATAGAGAAGAGAAAGAAGTTGTATTGGACTCCATGTGCTACGCATTGTATTGATTTAATGTTGAAGGACTTGTCTCTCGTTAGCTAGGCAAGTGGTCAAGTTTATATATGAACATTGTTGGGTTCTTTCAATGATGAGATCATTTACAAAGAACAGTGAACTACTCCGTCCAGCAGTAACACGGTTTGCCACTGGTTATCTTACTCTCCAAAGTCTTTACAAACAAAAACAACCACCCCAAGCTATGTTTTCTTTAGAAAAGTGGGCTTCCAGTAGTTGGGCAAGAAAGGTTGAAGGGGTAAAAGCTCGTGCAATTGTGTTGTTTGATCCAAAATTTTGACCTAATGTTGCTTTTTGTATCAAAAGCACGATACCTTTAGTTAGTGTTTTGTGAGAAGTTGATTCAGAGGAGAGGCCCGCTATGGGTTACATTTATGAGTTAATGGATTCGGCTAAAGAAAAGATTGCTTTCAATTGTGGAGGAAATGTTAGGAAGTACGGACCAATTTGGAATAAGATAGATGCAAGGTGGACACCACAACTTCATAGGCCTTTACATGCTGCTAGTTATTATCTAAACCCTGAGTTGCGCTATCAAGATTCCTTCTCCAATGTTGAGGAGGTGAAGCAAGGATTGTATCAGTGCATGAATAGGTTGTTGAGTTATGATAAGCATCTCAAGGCTGATATCCAATTGGACTATTATGATCAAGAAAAAGGAGAATTCGGAAGTTGTGTTACAATTGATTCCAGAGCGATACGCTCTCCCGATAAGAAACTAATATGAAAATAATTTTCCAATTACATTCTTTAAAATTAAAATATGAGATTGAAATCATTTGTGCATTTTTCAAATTATGTAACTAATTGGTGGACTCGTTTTGGGAGCAAAGCACCAAAGTTAACAAAATTTGCTATTCCAATACGTAGTCTAACTTGTAATGCCTCGGGATGTGAGAGGAATTGGAGCACCTTTGAGCCGGTAATATATCTTTCTTTCCTAAACATTCTTATGCATAAAATAAAATATTCATGTTTCTAACTTGAAATATTTCGTATCTTATATTACTATATTAGATTCATACAAAAAAGAGGAATAGGCTTGAGCACAAACGTTTGAATGCTTTGGTCTATGTGAAGTACAACACTAAACTAAGAAAGAGGAGTATCAGAAGAAGACAAACCATCGATCCAATACTAATTGATGAAATTGATTCGGATGATGAATGAATTGCTGAAAAGGAAGATCATGTCCTCCCCCTTGATGCTTCTTGGCTTGATGAAGAAGAATTGTTTGATGCTGAAGCAATTAGGACTGTGCCTATCACTACCTATGACAGAAGTGTGGAGAATCGATCAACTACGACTACGATTAATGTTGACTCATCTTCGAATGCAAAGAAAAGAAAAGTTGGTGAAGGTTCAAGTAAGTTGTTAAACAATTATGGACTAGTTGCATATATATTATTATATGTGCCTATTTAATTAATTTGAAATCCTATTTCTTGTATAGGAAATGATATAGGAAAAGGCAAGGCAACAAGATGTACGCTTGTGAATGAAGATATGGAGTTGGAAGAAGTTGATGGAATAGATGATGGAACCTATCCCATTATAGATATAGCGGACTAAGATGATGACAATATTAATGAGGATGACTTAGAGTGACCTATTATTTATTTATTGCTTTGTTTATAGAGTATTAGAGTTTAAGGTATTTTGTTTATTGAACAATTGGAATTTAAGTCATTTTTGACCATCACTTAAGTTATTTTTTGTTATAGTATTAATGAGAATGACTTAGAAAGCTCTTACAATACTCAAAATTATTAATTAATTTTGATTTTATGCGTAGAATGGCTTTTAAGAATTTTATTTGGTAATTCTTATTTTTTTTACTCTTTTTATGCTATATTTAATTAATTTTGTATTTTATAAAAATAAAAAATTCAAAATCCAAAAGGCTTACGCCTCAACAAGGGTAAAACGCTTCGCCTTGCGCTTTCGCCTTTAAAAACACTGGCACCTACCACCGCAACCGTTGTGTAACAGCCGCAGCCGTTACGTAACACTGCTTTTTGAAACCTTACTTGGACAATAAAGTTAACCTTGCTTGGACAATAAAGTGCCTGCAGTTTCTGTTGGTGCATACCCAACAGTTGCATCTCCTCTTTAGATCCATTGTCAACTCAGTCATCTATCCTTGAACAATTTGAAACTTTCTGTTCCAAGATTGAGTTCAGTTTTAGTTTTAGAGTGCAAGTCATATCAGTTGGGAATGCATCATCATTTTTTGCTTGCTTCTCAAGTCAATAACATCAATCAAGTCCTTTCATGAAGTTCATTTAGATGCTCAAGATTCCAATCGTTTCACTTCAAAATTGGGATTTCGGTATTTTGTCACCTTTGTGGGTGATTGTTCCAAGGTTATCTGGTTATATTTAATGAAAGAACGTTCCGAGTTCCTCTTTATTTTTTGTGCTGAAATTCGAACTCTGTTTAATGTGCCTATTTGCATACTTCGAAGTAATAATGCCAAAGAGTATTTCTCTCAACCCTTCATAATATGGGATACATACCTGGCATATCAAGTTCAAGATGCACCCAGCAAGCACGTGCTGCATGTTGTGTAATTTACTATGTAATTGTGCATTCTTTCAATATGTTATTTTCATGACACCCCGTCAATTTGAGCCAAGTGCTCATGCTTAATGCTATATTTACAAAAGAAAAAAGATCATTCACCTAGGAGATAAAGAAGAATACTAAGAAACATGAACATTCAGCCGTGTCTCAATGTCCCTGGACTAAAGAATTAGAGAAACCCTAGGTTAGACACACAGCAGCACACAAATCTGAGTCCATGTAGCATAAATTGCGTGGCAGCAATAGATTCAAAAAATAAATAAATAAATCAATACATAGAACAGAATATCACCTTAAGAATCCATCAACTGGCTCAACAAGAGGCTCCCAGGCTTCATACTTATCATTATATGATCTGGCAGCCAATGAAAAGCTGACAGTGGAATTCAAATACTCAGGTCTTCCATGTAAGCTAAACCCAATCCCGCTTAAAGAAATATTGAACAGTGGGACCATCTGTAAGTTTTCAGGAGTACGGTCAGAGAAAGAAGTGCAATACGAAAAAATATATTATGATTTACATATGGTTATAGCTTTAATTGAGATTTGCAGCACATCAGGTTGTTAAGTCATTAGTTTTCCCAAAAGTATAAGCTGCCAGCAAATGTGCTCAATAATGTATAACAAGCCATTCAACACCCTCCCTCACGTGCAACCCTGTCTTGAACTTCGGAGATGCAACATCCATATATAGAGAAGAAACTATACAAATAGAATGAGAAGAATGCAAGCGAGGACTAAATGCATAAGGAGAGACTGGAACCTAAAATCTCCCCCATTCTAAACTCTGATACTATGAATCACCAATTTCAAAAGCTCAAGTTGCTAGGAAATTGTATCTCAAGACATCCAACACAGGTCACTACAATCTACAACAGAACAGCAAGCACATTGCAAATATTAAGACTTATAAAACCTAATGAGTTTCAAATAAAAGAACAATAAATAGAAAATCCACTTGTTCAAACATAATGTACAAATTTTCAATTTGTTCATCCAAATGGAAAGCATATTAAGTTGACTACTACAAGAAAAATCTTCAAATGCAACAAAGTGTTAGAATGCATTACAAACCAAGTTCTGAAGAAATCTCTAAGAATACACAATAAAGAAAAAGAATCAAATATATGCAATGAAAGTAGGGTATTTATCAAGCACTGGGAAATTTTATAATAAAGCTACAAGGCCAACTTTGAAATTGTAATGGTAGAAGGAACATGATCCACAAAGAAAACCCCAAATAGAATCTTCAGGTTTTTACATTGCCCTGGGGCCTGGGGCTTTATCATTAATGTGTAACTTATTTGATATGGTGGATGTGAAGTGGGTGGCTCCTACCTCTTCCATATAGATGCTTTTGATTGACTACAAGGGATTCAACACCAATAAGAAAGCTCAAGTTCTTGGGGATTGCGTCACTTTTGCTTGGGAGATTTCTTTGGAAAGAAATGCAAGTATTTTTTGAAGACAACTATGAGGGTCTAAAGAGTATTTGTGGCAAGATTTGTCATTTAGCTTCCTTTTGTGCTTTAGTTTCTTCTCCTTTTGAGGGATCCTCTTCATTTTGATTAGTAGGGATTGGAGGACTTTACGTAATTAGTAATTTTTGTTTATTTTTGTAATTATTAGTGGACTTCCTTGTCCACCAACTTTTGTACCTTCTTTTTTATTATTAATAAAATTTCTCTCTTAAAAATAAAAAAAGAAAAAAGAAAAGAAAAAAAAGAATCTTGACGTGAAGGGTGGCAGATAAATAAGCTCCCGGTGGGTGAGGATGTGGGAAACATGTGCCAAGATATAAGGGGATATGTGCTTATTTCCAAATGTCATGGAGATAAATCACATACGGAGTAAAGTACAGTGGGTTAAAGTGAATTTCGCCTCCCAATGTGACAAAAATGTCCATGGTATACACAACGAGTTTCCTTATATACAAGGTTATTTTAGTCATTTTTACCTAAAGCCATTAACAGGCTGGCCATTGCACTTTAGTTCACAAACCATAGGAGGTTACGTGCTTAGTTCTAAATGACAGTGGGTTATGTGCACATGGGCCAAACCACAAGAGGTAAATTGAAATTTGCCCTTTATTTTAAGTACTTTACGGGTTAGAATACTGCTTGATTCATTAAAAAGACTTATTATTTTAGTACTTGCGGACATTTTGGTAGTTTTGCAAATTGATTGACATAGGCTGTAGGAGACAATGATGGATCATCTATATGGTCAAGATTATATTAACTGGTTAAAGTTTCTTAGTTTCCTAATTATGAGTCATAGTACTAATAATATCAGGAGAGCACACAAACAAATAAACACTTTAAGCTTCCCTATTCTTCTTCAACACAAACAGAATTCCCAACTTACTGTTCAAAGCCTAATATAAATAGTATGCTATTCTCAGCAACACTAACAAATAGCCTAAATCAACCCCTAACCCCTTCCCTGCGGTCAAAATCACCGATTGTCCCAAAAACTTAACTATAGGCAATGGGGCAGACAATGGATATCAAGCTATCTAACACCTACCCGTTATTCTTCAATGTAATCATTAAATGTTAAACTACCCACAGTCTAGGCCCTCTAACCATTCCAGTAGTTTCAGCAATACCTATTTTTTAGTCCTATTTCACCTGCAAACCATACTTCATGTTGGAACTCTGACCCTAGAAACTGTTGAAAACCCAACCATAGGCAGCATTAGGCCAAGTTTCCTAATGTGTCCTACATCATTATGTCAACCACACCACACATTTGCAGACAAAGTGGGTAGTTTTGAGGTTTTATTTATGACAGGTTATTGTGCAGCCATTCACATATAAAGAATCCTTACCAAGCCACCATAGTCATCAAAAAGTGCAGCAGAAAACGTTCCAATTTCTGCATCAATTACAGTGTCATCTGACCCACTTGGCATGTCTGGATCTGCAAGCTTTAGAGCAAACCTTCTGGGAGGTTTCTTGAAACCACTACGAACAACGAAGGTTCCCAACTGATTGCCAACTATCCATATACTAAATGGTTCTTTCATAAACTTGGCATCAGATGTATCCCATACACTTTCCTCCAAAAATTGATCCCCAGTGACCATATCACTACGCAAGCATCTTAATGAGCTAAAATCAGATTGCTTTGGTGTGCCCTTGCATGCAACACAACCTAATGAAACAAAACCTGGGGGAGCTTGAGGTAGCCAAAAGGAAATATTTTCCACATGCCTATGTTTCTTGATCTGTCCAGTGAGCTGAAAATCTAGAGGTGGTTTGAAAAGGTCATCATCTCCAGAATCACGGAGAACAATGCATGTGTTTGGAGGCTCATACCTATATTCAAAGCACCAAATAAAACAAATATATTATCTTTAAGTTTAAAAAGAAAATAAGCAAGAGGCGGATCAAAAAATAAAAAAATTAGCAAGAAGCCCTTATGTACAAATTGCATACCCTTGTACAGAAATGTCACCAAAATATACCATTCCTTCAGGGACTATAGGACGCCATATTGATAATTTCTTTCTTGAGCCCGAACCTTGATTCCACCATATCAACCGAAAACTAGCAACAGCCTCAAAACGCCATCCAGAGTTTACAGTTGACGTACTGTCTGATTGGAGGGTTCCAGCATGATCAGAAGGAAATGATTCATTATCTAAACTCTTTGATGCTGAAGATGTTTCTGGAAACCCAAAAAATATATGACGCAGTTCATATGCTCTACCAATCATGCCCAAAGTAGAGGGATCAGCTGGCAAAAAAGTCCCAACAGAATTATCCACACGCCAGAATGCTAAACTTGATGAGCAGCTACAAATCAAACAGTAAACTAAAAATCAGACCATAATCATCAGAAATCTGATAAGAATATCTGGCAGTGGAGTAGAAATATATTTTTTTCCCTTTATCAAAAGCAACAAAATATTTGATTGATATAAAGGAAAGAGGTACATACGCAATAAGGAGGACAAGAAGTCCATCCAGAAGGAAAGAAAAATTACAAGTCATACAGCAAGCCAATTTATAGAAATCAAAAACAAAGAACTCCCCTTGAAGAAAGGAAAACTGACACCTAAAAGGAATACAATTAGTTTTGGACAAGAAGAAGTGAAATGGAAGAAGAAAAGAGAGGAGAATAACGGTGTGCTGCAAAAGGAGGAGAGAATTACTTAGGGTTCTCTCTCAATAATTCTTATTTATACTCTAGGAAGCATGGATACGGATACGATATGATATAAATATGGCGATACGACAAAACTTAAAAAAAATAGGATACGGGTACGACTAGAATACATTCGTGAAAAATATATGTTTTAAAATTATTAATAGTGTGTTACACATAAGCTAAAGAATGTTAAGAAACCACAATGTAATTTTATAATGCAAAATACTAACCTTTAAAAATTAGCTATTAACTTAAGCTAGTAAGCTTATTTACTTTTTAAATTTTCAATAGGTCTTACAAATATTTCATTTCAATATCAAGTCTAATATGTTTATATTACAATAATAGAACAATTCACAACTTATCCATGCGCTTTTCCCTATGGCACTAGTAAAAAATCTTGTATTCAAGTTTACTTGTTTATTTATTTAATATTGTCATATTCTCTTGTTAATCCTTAATTATTATTTTTTTGATAAATAACCAAACTTTATAAGAAAAGCATCAAGATAACACAAAAAATACAAAAAAACAACCCATTAAGGCAAATAAAACTAAACTAAGAAATCAAATCCTCGACAAAATCAACAAAGGGTAAGACATCCGGATCAACCAAACCCGTAACCCAAGAATGCAACATCATAAGAAGCCGCCTCTCCAACCAAGGAACAAAATGAGACACATCCTGAAAACCCTCCTATTCCGCTCTAACCAAATCAACCACATCGAACAATGTGCTGTAAGCATCCAAGCCTTACGACGCCTCCACCTAACTCGACCACCAACCCAACACTGCAAAGCTCACAACACGGAACCCGGCTGAACCCAAACCAAACCAAACCAAGCCAAAAGTCGCCACTACATTCATCCAAAGTCGATACGCAATTGGACAATCAAGAGGAAAATGATTCATTGATTCCATATCAGCACAACAAAGGCAACACCAATTAACTAAAACATGACCACCGCGAATTAAGTTATCAATAGTCAAAATATGCCTTAACGCCGCAATCCAAACAAAGAAAGCCACCTTGGTGAGTGAACCCACCACCTAAATGCACTTCCAAGGAAACCGAACGGCAGCATCATCAGATGTAAGGCTAGAATAAAAAGAAGACACTGGAAAAATCCCTTTGGACCTCAGCCCAGCCCACACCAAAGAATCCTCTCCTCCCACCTCACATCTTAACCCATACAAAAACCCCCCATAACTCCACCAGCTGATCCACCTCCCAATCTTGAACCTCACAACGCAAGTTGACATTCCAAACAACTGAATCCCCTTGCCCACTCCGAACATCACCCACCAACACCTCCCTAGCTAAAGCACTGATAAAAATCAACAAGAACATCCTCTCAAGGGACACCTCACCACACCACCTATCCCTCCAAAAGCGAACTATGTCCCTCACCCCCACTTGAACCAGACCCTCTTCCAAAACTCCTCCCTACCCAACCAAACCCTCTTCCACAACCCTCACCCATGGGATGACCCACCCTTCCAAAACACCACCCACCTTTATCCAAACCATACTTAGCCGCCGCCACCTTCCTCCACAACCGCCCACCTCACCCACAAAATGCCATAACCACTTCCCTAACAAAGCTAGATTAAACGTAACCAAACGTTGTATCCCCAAACCTCCTCTCTCCTTTGGAATAGAAACCCGATCCCAAGCCAATAAATGATAATGAAATGTATCCCCCCCATTACCCTAGAGAAAATCCCTCTGCAACTTCTCAAAAGGCAAATTCAATGTTGTCTTGTTAATCCTTACTTTCTATGTAGTTATAGAGAAAATGCATGAAATAATTAGGATAACTTAGAAAATATGAGGAAGAAGAACTCCGAAAATATGAGGAAGAAGGAATATATTTCTGTTATATTCAAAACTTCTTATTTTACAAGACCAAATGACACTCCTTATATAGGAGATATTACAAACATCATTATAACCCATTATATGCCACTTACATATTATATATTACCACTACCTACCACTATCATATTATATACATGCCACTATCTACCACCAACACCACTATCATATTCTATACATGCCACTATCCTTCACCAACACCACTATCATATTATATACATTAACACAAATTTCCAGCACTCCCCCTCAAGCTGGTTTGAAGATA